CTTGAGGCATGGACTTCCAGGAATTCCTTCAATTAGTCGACTGCAATCTTTTCCAACCAATCCTAGGCTCCAACTACAACAGGGATTGTTGATGTTCCCATATGCCACATTTCTGAGATTTCTATTTCAATGACCTTTTATTTTGATAGCTTTTTGAATATCTTCAAAGATACATTGCAGTCAGCAGGGACTGCCATATCAATAAGGAGGCACTTTTTTGTTTGTGGTCTTTAATAACAATATCTGGGCGGTTGGCTTTGATTGTTCTGTCAGTGTGTATTGTGTAGTCCCATAGAATTGTAACAGGTCCTATTCTTCTTCTTCTTCCTCTTCTTCTTCTTCTTCTTCTTATTATTATTATTATTATTATTTATTTATTTTTTTTTATTATATGATGGTACTTCTGTTGTGTATATGTTTTGAGTACCAGGAAATATACTATCTGTCAAGTCCCCACCCGGATGTTAGACTGTACCCTTAAAAGTATGCTTGTTTTTTGTTGTTGTTTTTTTGTGTGTGTGTGTGTGTGTTGTGTGTGTGTGTGTGTGTGTGTGTGTGTTCTCAGTGTCTACTTTACACCAAATTGGTCAACATATTCTTTGAACTTCAATAGGATGTAGCCAAGTATTCCTATCACTACCGGGACGATTCCAACATTTTTCTCCGCCATTTTCAGAAATCTGACAATCTCAACCTTCAGTTCAGAATAGTTGCTGATTTTGTTTAGTTTATTTTGTTTTACAGCATATCAACATCAATGGGTTATTTAATGCCGACAAGAATTTTAAGATAGGTTCGTATGAAAAGAAAATATATTATTTGTAAGTAATCAGTTTGTAGATGAAGTTCATTAACGTATTTTTGTAAAGAGGGTTTTTTGTCGAAAGTCAAATGAATTGCTTGTAGTATTTTGTTTTTCAAAAATATATTTTTGGTAATTATTTGTTTTCAAAAATGTATTGTCGTAATAATTTTTTTTTCATAAATGTTTTGCTGGTAATATATTTTTAAAAAAAAATATTTGCTAGTAATAATTAAAACAAATGTGTTGCTGGTGATATTTTAAAAAATGTATTTTTGGTAAAAATATTTAAAAATTCATCGCTGGTAATAATGTTTTTTAAATGCATTGCAGGTAATAATTTTTTTTTTTCAAAAATGTATTGCTGGTAATAATATTTTTTCAAAAACATATTGCTGGTAATAATTATTTGTTTTCAAAAATGTATTGTTGTAATAATTTTTTTTCATAAATGTTTTGCTGGTAATATTTTTTTCCAAAACGTTTGCTGGTAATAATTTAAAAAAATGTGTTGCTGGTAATAATTTTTTTAAAAAATGTATTGCTTGTAATAATTTTTTTTTCCAAAAATTTATTGCTGGTAATAACATTTTTTTTTTCAAAATGTATTTCTTTTAATAATATTTTTTCACAAATCTATTCCTGGTAATAATTTTTTTTCAAAAATGTATTGTCGTAATAATTTTTTTTCATAAATGTTTTGCTGGTAATATTTTTTCCCAAAAATGTTTGCTAGTAATAATTTTAAAAAAATGTGTTGCTGGTAATATTTATTAAAATTTATTTTTGGTAATAATATTTAAAAATGCATTGCTGGTAATAATTTTTTTTTTTTAAATGTATTGCTGGATATTTTTTTTTTCCAAAAATCTATTGCTGGTAATAATATATTTTTCCAAAATCTATTGCTGGTAATAATTTTTTCTTAAAAAATATATTGCTGGTATTTTTACTATAAAAAACTTATTTTTACAATTTCAGAGTGTTTTAAAGCCAGTTTGGGGTTAAACTAATTACCCATAGCTGGGATCCTAACAGGTGCTACCACCCCGGGTCAGTGGGGACCTGAGAACACCAGCAATCAAACATCCTGATCAGAGGGCTTGCTGCTGGATGTAGTTTATCGTCATACCCTGGACGCAGTAGTTGCTGTTTTTTTTAAATATTATTATTATTATTATTTTTATTATTATTTGAGTTTCTCAACTATCATATTAATTAATGAATAGTAATTAATGAATTTATAGCGGGTTAGAGCCTGCAGCCTCACGGATCCGGCAAATCTTTTCTGACTCGCTTCTAGGATTATTTATGCCGTCCCTCTTCATTCTTCTTCTTCTTCTTCTTCTTCTTCAATTCTTCTTCTTCTTCTCCTTGCTACTTACTACTACTACTACACGAACCCGTGCAATTTTTCTTCTTCTTCTTGTTATAGTTGTTCGTCATCTTCTTTGATTGTCTTGCGAATTATTCCATCTTAATTCTTCTTCTTCTTCTTCTTTTTTTTCTTCTTTTTCTTTTTCTTCTTTTTTTTTTTCTTTTTATTATCTTCTTGTTCTTGTTCTTTTTATTTTCCTCCTTTTCTTTAACTCCACGGCCGTCTTGTTCGTGTTCTTCTCCTTGTTGTTGTTGCTGTTGTTGTTGTTGTTTCTTCTTCTTCTTCTTCTTGCTGTTCTTGTTGTTCTTGTTGTTATTATTATTATGTTACTATAATCATCATCATCATCATCATCATCATTATTATTATTATTATTATTATTATTATTATTGTTGTTGTTGTTGTTGTCAGCCAAAGGCTGTATATTCAATGTTTGTTTTCAATTTCCAGACTTGGTATAATTATCCTAATATGTTTTTTACCTCTAATAGAAAAAATAAACGCAAACATTTTTTTAATAACTTTTTTGAAGGCTTATTCAAAGGATATGATAAACCTAAAATATTTAAAACCTGAAATATATTGTAATAAAAAAATTGAGAAAGATATTTTTAAAAAAAAAAAACTGTTCAAAATATAAACGACAGCCAAACACGAAACGAATCCTTAGATAAAACGAAATAATACATGAAATAAAATGTATTTGCTATTCGAACGACAGATACACGGTTGGAATTGTCAGTTTGAAAGATAGAAATGTCGAAATAATATTAAAATTGGCTATGGAAAAAAAGAGGTTCCGGCCGAATGATAATCATGTCTGTGGACGTTCACCTTTTCCTGATCTATTCTCTCATCTTTACAGATTCGGTCACTTCGCTGGTCAAGTGGACGAATTGCAAAACTTAAGAAAATCTAAAATTTTTATTAATTATTATTCATTTTATTATTATTATTCCTATCTTTTTATTGTCAGTTTTTATTAGCGGGTTTTTTTAAACAATATTTGAAAAAAAAAAAAGTGACCCAATACTTCAACAAAAAATAATTACGCAAAATTCAATTAGGTCTGTTCATTTGAAACGACGACATAAATAAGATTTTAAAAAATTCAAAAAAACACACAACACAGCGATTTATATGAATATGTATATATGACTCTATAAAATGGTGTATATATATATATATATATATATATAATGAAATCTTTTTATAGATTGTTTGAGCTACATAAAAAACATATAGGTAAAAATAAAATAATATATATATAATTATTTTGAATTATTATTAAATATATATATATAAAAATATTTGCATACATATATATACATAATATATATATATATATATATATATATATATATATATATATATATATATATATATATATATGCACGACCTATGTATATAAAAACAACTGTATCTCGAAATAATATGATTTATAACTATTAATATATACATGATATATACTGTATTTTTTCAACATTTTATATATATATATATATATTTATATATATATACATATATATATATATTCATGTGTGTGTGTTGAATGTTTGTGTATAGTACATAAGTTAAAGGAAAGAATATGTAGGAATATATATTTATGTTATATACATATATGCAATATATATAATTTATACAATATGCATATGTAATGTAATATATATCAAATAGCCGTGAATTTATATACCTATCTATATATTTATCTACTTATATTCTTGTACTTATTTTGTTTTTTTGACGTTTGTCCATATATATTATATTCCTCTTTTTATATATTCTTCTCAACATTTTCACTAATTCTCCTTCCTTGTTCAAATATTCTAAATTTGAAAAATATATTCTATTCACACACACACCGTGTTCTTTTTATTATATATATATATATATATATATAATCACAGATTGTCTTCTGAAAATTCCTCTCTTTTTTCTTCTTCTTCGAACATTCTTCAGCATCCTTCTTCTTTTTTTTTCTTCTTTTTCCCACCAATATTATTGTTATATATTATTTATATATATATATATATATATATATATATATATAAGACGAGTGCAAAAGTTTCTTCTCCTTGTTTAGTTATAATGTTGTTGTTAGGGCTTCTTCTTCTTCTTCTTATATGCTGTTCTAGCGAAGAGATAAAATAATTTTGTATCTTCCAAAATTTTTATTTTATTATTACAACGACGTTTATTTTTCGTCGTATTCATTCGTTACGCGCAGGCGCACCAAGTAATTTTCCTCTGTAGTGGTCATTTGGTCAAGACTATACAGAAATAAAAACCTCAAAGGTTTTATTGTGCTCACTCCAAACGCACAAAAGGATTTATGGGCCAATCACAAAGCGCGCAAAAAGTTTATCAACCAATCAGAAAAAGTCAGTGAGAATTTTATCGACCAATCAACAAAGAAATTGTCAAAAGGAAACTTTATCTGACCATCAGCTGAGTTCCAAGTTAAACGTACCGATGGTTTGATTCCTTTTGTTTGGTGTTCTGCCACATCGTAAACAAAAAAAAAAACAAAAACAAAACAAAAACGGTTGGTTGTCAGTTTGAAAGATACAAAGAAATACATATATATGTATGGTAAAAATGTTCCGGCCGAATGATAATCATGTCTATTGGAGAATTACCTTTCTATATTAAATCAGAGATCTTTAAAATTCGATATTTTTATATGTGGACAGAATTATACAAATTCGGTATTGAAAATCTAAAATTTTAATTATTAAATGATGCATTTATTAGCAATGTTTCATAATTTTTTCATGTTTTTATTTTATCATATAGCGGGTTTATACGAGATGAAGCCATTTAAATAAAGAGATATGACTTGACAAAGATAGATAGATAGATAGATAGATAGATAGATTCAATAGATAGATAGATAGATAATGAATACGGATAGATAGATAGATAGATAGATAGATAGATAGATAGATAGATATGATATATGAATATATATAGATAGATAGATAGATAGATAGATAGATATATAGATAGATATATAATGAATACGGATAGATAGATAGATGATAGAAAGATAGATAGATAAATCAATGATATACGAATACGGATAGATAGATAGATAGATAGATGATAGATAGATATATAGATAGATAGATACATATATGAATACGGATATAGATAGATATATAGATAGATAGATATATAGATAGATATATACGGATAGATAGATAGATAGATAGATAGATATGAATAGAGAGATAGAAATACTTTTAAATGATATAATATGATTGAACAGATAGATAGATATGATAGATAGATAGATATATATATATATATAATATAGATAGATATATAGATAGATATGATAGATGTGTATGTGTGTAGATAGATAATGAATACGGATAGATAGAAAGAATAGATAGATAGATTTATATGATATATATATAAATGCATATATATAGATTTATATATAGATAGATAGATAGATATAGATAGATAGATAGCAATAATATATATATATATATATATATATATATAGATATATATATAGATAGATATATAGATAATGAATACGGATAGATCGATAGATAGATAGATAGATATATATGAATATAGATTTAGATATATCTTTAAATTTTCATATAGATAGATATGAACAGATAGATAAATAGGATAGATAGATAATGAATACGGACACACACACACACAGATAGATAGATAGATAGATAGATACATAAATGAATACGGATAGATAGATATATATATGATATACGGATAGATATAAACATAGATGAAAATGAAATGGATAGCATGAACATTCCAGATAGATAGATAGATAGATAATAGATCCCCATGGATAATATATATATATATATATATATATATATATAGATATATATAGATAGATGCAAAAAGTTTTCAACGGATAGATAGATAGAATAGATAGATAGGATAGATAGTCGGTCTTAATGAACCATGGATAGAGAGATAAATAATAGATATCTTCCAATAGTTTTAGATAGATACAACGACGTTTATAGATAGATATTCATTCGTTAGCGCAGGCGACACCAGATAGATTTAGAATGAGTGGTCATTTGGTCAAGACTATACAGAAATAAAAACCTCAAAGGTTGACAGACAGACAGACAGATAGATAGATTTATGGGCCAATCACAAATAGATAAAAAGTTTATCAACCAATCAGAAAAAGTCAGTGAGAATTTTATCGACCAATCAACAAAGAAATTGTCAAAAGGAAACTTTATCTGACCATCAGCTGAGTTCCAAGTTAAACGTACCGATGGTTTGATTCTTTTTTTTTTTGGTGTTCTGCCACATCGTAAAACAAAAAAAAAAACAAAAACAAAAACAAAAAAAAAAAACAATAGCTTCGCTATACAAAGAAATACATACATATATGTAGGTATCAATGTTTGTGCGCATGTATCGTAAGTCTATTTGAGAATTACCTTGCTATATTAAATCAGAGAACAGTAAAACTTAGATATTTTTATATGTACACAGAATTATACAAATTCGGTATTGTTCCAGTTCTCTTTTCTTTGTGCTAAATGATGCATTTACTAGCAATGTTTCATAATTTGTTCATGTAATTTTATTTTATCATATAGTAAGTTTATACGAGATGAACACATAGATAAATAGGGATATGACTTGAATCAGAAGATAGGGAATGAAGATGACAGCAGATACGGAGATCGGAGAATAGATAGATAAATGAATGAATTGAATAGATAGATGAAGATAGATAGATAGATAGATAGATAGATAGATAGATGAAGATAGATAATGAATATCTATCATAGATAGATAGATAGATAGATAGATAGATAGATAGATAGATAGATATAGATAATAAACATCTCTATATATAATAGATCTCTCTAGATACGGATATATATATATATATGGGGAAAAGAAATATCTATAGATAGATAATGAACAGATGAATAGATATATAATATATATATATATATATATATATATATATATGATTATAGATAGATATATATATATATAGATAGAATAGATAGATAGATAGAGATAGATAGATATAGATATAGATATATATATATAGATAGATAGAAAAGATAGATAGATAGATATATAAGTCTAGATGAATGAATGAACAGATAGATTAGATAATAGATAGATAGATAGATGAATGAATAGATATGCATGAATGATAGTAAGCAAATAAAAAAATGCCGAATGTATGAAGATAGGTTAGATAGATGAATACATAATACTGCTATATAGATAGACAAGAGAGATGGAAAGACGGATATATATAAAATAAATAGACATAGATACCCACATTTGTGATGATGATAGATAATGAATACAGATAGATAGATAGATAGTCGGGCACGAGATTTTAATAGATAGATAGATTTTTTTCCAACGAAAAATTCAGCAAACGTATTTATTAATAGATATATATATATATATATATATATATAGATAGATGAATATATATGATAGATATGATTGCGATATAGATTCATAGATGTGGATAAAGAGTTTGCAGATGGAAGATAGTTGTACATCAACAAAAAACCATGCAGATTACTCCGGCAAACAGATCAAGCACCAAACCACTAGGATGCTTTAAACGGTTCCAGAAGATTCACCCCACAAGCCAGATATGAAATTGAGATAAATAGGATAGATATGAATGGTGGGTAGATATATAACTATATATATATATTGATATTATATTTGAATAGTTAGAAATTATAGCTCTCAGGGAAACTGGAATTGGGAAGGGTGTTCCACTGGCGAGTTTGCGAGGTATGAAGCTATTGAATTAGAAGAGACGGCTACATTTAAAAGTTTCTACAGTGTAATTTGAGGAGGGATGCCAGCCTCGAAGGGTCTTTGAATTTAATTACAAAATTAAATGACAGCATTTAGCATCCATTTTTGAAACATGAAAGAACTGTGTATCGAAAAACAACATCTTTTAAATCAATTAATTAATAATATTAATGCTCTATAAATTTATATCTGATCTATCTATTATATAGAAAATAAAATAGATATAAGAACACCGGATTATATATATTTATATAGTTCTTTTCTTTATATCTATATATATATATATATATATATATATATATATATATATATAGAGAGAGAGAGAGAGAGAGAGGAGAGAAAGAGATAGATAGATAGATCGATAGATAGATATGAACGTTAAGATAGATAGATACATACATACATACATACATATGAACATTGTCATAGATAAGAAACGGACTGAGATCGATAGAAAAATAGATAGATAGATAGATACTGTCGAAATTTAATTTTAATATTTCAAGATTATTGAATTCCGATACTGAGCATCTAGTATGGAGGAAGAGTGTAATATGTATGTATGCATATATATATATATATATATATATATATATATATATATATATATATATATATATATGTGTGTGTGTGTGTGTGTGTGTGTGTTATTCAATAAATCAAGAAAGATTAATAAAGTTACTTATCTTATAGTGTCTATCAGATATGATGCCTTTTTTGATTTATTAAGTATTATAGATATCGCTTGAAGATATTTCTCAAAAGTTCTGATAACCGGAAAAATTCGTTGAATTCTTTTAGTTTCCACGCATTTATTAGTATTATCATTATACTGTTTTTTATATGTATTGTCACAATCCTGCTTCTGACGAGTTCGGGTCTATATTGAGTAATCTTGTGTGCAGACAGAGAGAAACGCTACCATAATCTTTGCCTTCAGTTCATCTTTGGTGTTACAAGGAATTTTGTTGGTCTCTCGCTTCAATGCGCCCCACACATAATAATTAAGGATGTTGCAGTTTGGTGGGTTAGGTGGCCAGATGTAAATGGTGATGTGGTCGCAGAAATTGTCTGATATCCATGACTGGGTTCTACTGCTTGTGTTGCATAATGCAGAGTCCTGTTGCCAGACATAGGATCTTCCAGAAGCTGCCAACTTGATGCAAGATAGCACTACCTCCTCAAAGCAATTGATGTAGGTCTTCGTGTTGAGTCTGTGGCCCTCACCAGGAAATTTGGGAGTTCCTTTTTTTTATCAAAACTCATTCAACTCTGAATCCTCTGCACTCTCCCAAACAATCTGAAATATTTGTATTGGAGCATCCGGTGCGAATGCCAAGAAGTAAAGCATGCAGTTTCCAAATTTCTGGCGGGGTCATGACACTCGTTTTCTCACAGATGGTACCCAACTGACCCTATGTGCAATCGACAAAATCACGAACAAACTTTAAAACTTTTAATCATTACCTCTTTAACTTACAAAAAGAGGTAAAGATTTGTTTTTAAATTCCCCTAATAAATATTTTTATCACAAGTTATCTACCAACGCCTGAAGAAGTACCATCTTAGTACTGAAACATGAAAGGTTTTGTGTTGCGACGTAAAATAATTTTATAGTAATTTACTATAATAAAATTATTATAACATATATATGTGTGTGTGTGTGCATATTTTTCTAAGCAGATTTCTCAAATATTCGAAAAATAAAGAAAAACAGAGCATTATCCCTTAAAATGAATATAATTAAAATCAGTATCATTTTAAAAATCAATATCATTAAAACCAGTATCCATTAAAATCAATAGCATTAAAATCAGTATCCATTAAAATCAGTATCCATTAAAAATCAATATCATTAAAATCAGTATCCATTAAAATCAATATCATTACAATCAGTATCCATTAAAATCAGTATCCATTAAAATCAATATCATTAAAATCAGTAAAATCAGTATCCAATATCATTAAAATCAGTATCCATTAAAATCAATATCATTACAATCAGTATCCATTAAAATCAATATCATTAAAATCTGAATCCATAAAATCAGTATCCATTAAAAATCAATATCATTAAAATCAGTATCCATTAAAATCAATATCATTACAATCAGTATCCATTAAAATCAATATCATTAAAATCAGTATCCATTAAAAATCAATATCATTAAAATCAGTTTCTATTAAAAATAGATATGAGTATTCAATAATAAATAGATTCAACTATTAGATAATTGCAAAACTTCGTACTTGAATTTCATTGCTCATATTTAATGATCGGAACTGCCCACTGCCGTTTGTTTTGATGGCGATTTCTGGTGTGCTATTGATTTAAAACTTACATCGTTCGGTCGCCAGTCATACTTTGTTGAATGTTGAAGCTTTGTCTACAAATAAATCCATTAAATTGGAGAATGAAAAGTTGTACTTTCGCCATGATCTATGAATTCCGGGAAGAATTTAAAGTTAGAAATGTGACTAAAAACATTTTAGAAGGTTTATTGAGATCGTGCTCCAGGTTTTCGGAGAGCCAACATATCCTTTGGCACATTTCCTTAGGGTGATTTTAACCCCTAAACGATCAACCAGGCTTCCGATGTCGATGAAGAAGCCACCTTGGAGAATAAATCGATGATTTCAACGGAAACGATTGCTAAGTGATTGAAAATCGAAATCTTCACTGTCTTCACGCCATTTGAAGGGACTTGGTTTCGCTTGCAATCTCAACACCCCGGAGCCACCATTTGTGACGGAATAGAACAAGCTCGATCGTCTATCTCCGGAGACATCTTTTGCTGTTACGCCACGAAAAGTAACCGTTCTTTCTAACAGGCGATGGAAAATTAGTCCTTTATGATAACACACGCCACACAAAGAGCTGGTAAAAAGCT